CCCCTGCCCACGGAGCCCCACCCACTCCTCACAGCCGCACCCCTTCATGTGAAGCCTGGCCCATACCTAAAGGACCCAGCCCTGCACACAGAGTTCTACCCCCACCTCACAGCCCCACCCCGCCCTCTGAGTCCCATCCACACCCCAGAACCCTACCCAGCTCATGGGCTCAGCTTGTACAGAGAGCCCCTCTCACATCACAGGACCCCACCTCAGCACATGGACACACCCCACATGCAAAGTTCTATCCTGTCCCTCACTTACCTGATGGGCTTTCTCTACCAAGTCCGTGGGGATTGGCACCTGATACAGCCTCATCAACCCAGTGGTGCTATTGTGTCCCTGTGTTGTCCCCATGGTCCTTGGGGCTGTCATTGGACACAGCTCCTTTCATATGCTACACTGCATAAATACCTAGCCATTCCCCACCCAGGAGTGCCTCCTTCCAGTCAAGAGCTAGGAAAGTGAAGAAGGAGATGCAGAACCTAGACTTAGCTTCTTATCCATGACTGGAAGACCTTGAGCCTCAGCCACCTCCTGCTTCCCCCACTCTAGCTGGCAGTTCCGGGACTCTGGGGGTCCATGGAAGAGCAGGGGTCCTCAGGCCCATCACTGTGCTGGACTCCCCAGACAGACCTTTCAGGGCACAGGGTGGCTCCGAGGCGGGGGCAGAGTGCAAGGGCCTTTTACTGTGCAGAAGGGATTGGGACTGGGTGGGAGGGGCCTGCAAAGGCCAGGAAGGACTGTGTGGGGTAGTGACATTCTGACTCCCATCACCCTCACTTGGGAATTTTGTGTCTTAAACTACCCAGGTATCTCATGGTCCCTTGTCAGCAGCCAATAAAAACCAGGACACTGCTGTCCCCACGTAGTAAGCCCATGAGTGTGGCCCTTAGTTCCATACTCTTCCCCTAGTCCCTGGTGTCCCTATGGCCTGACTGTCCCCTTAGCCTTTTCTCTCTCCGCAGGCCAGGAGTCTCCTGTACCAGTTCCGCCTCTTACCACGGATCCCCTGCAGCCTACATGACCTGTGTAAGCTGTGTGGGACAGGCATGTGGGACAGTGGGTACATGCCAGCTGTGGAGTGTGCCGGCCACCACCCGGGCTCAGAGAACTGTCCCTATGGGGGCACAATGGAGATGCCATCACCCAAGCCCCCAAGAGAAGGCAAGAAGGGCCCAAAGGCACCTCGGGAGGCCTTTGGTTTCCGCAGATAGAAAACTTCTGCCCTTGATGAGGAGCAAGGGGACCTCCCTGGACAAGTGGGAGGGGGAGGGGATGGACGTCAAGGGAACAGAATCTAGAAACACAAGGAAAGGCCTCTGGCCAATGTGACAAAATCAGACACTGAAGTGACAGCGGATATCAGATGTCCTGAGAATTCAGCTTCTGAAAGGCTGGCCCAGGATGTCTGGCTACTGCACTGGAATGCAGGCTGCTGGCTAGCCAGCTGGGGGATTCCAGCAGAGCCCAGAGTCACTCCATGAGCTGTGGGCAAAGCAGGGTCTAGAAAAGGCTTCGTCCTCACACAGTACCATGGGGCACAGAGAAAACACCTGTCCAAACTATCTGAGAGAGAGAGAGAGAGAGGGAGAGGGAGAGGGAGAGGGAGAGGGAGAGGGAGGGGAGGGGAGGGAGGGGGAGGGAGAGAGAGAGAGAACGCATACATTCAGGCCTGAGCTTCCCACAGTGTCCATGTGAGTGTTGGGAGGGACAAGCCTACTCTGAGCCAGAGACACAGGCTGGTAAACAAGTGTCAAATGTACCGTGCACTGGGGTCCTCCCCTTAGGATCTGAGGTTTGTCCTCTCTACCAAAACCAGCAACCCACTGGGGCCTAAATGGGTTGAGGGGTGTGGTATGCACAACCATGAGGTCCTCTGATGAGAACATGCTTAGTCCTAGGGAAGGGGGATTATATAAATTCCCAGCTAAGACAAAGGTATCTGGAATATCTGGGGAGGTGTCTCCGCCTCCATGCAGGACCTGGGTCCCTGTTTCGCCAGGGGTTTCCGTCCCTTGGCGTCTCTGTGGCTGAGCAACACTGGGGTGCTCTGCCTCTTAAGAAGGAAAAGGTCACCGCCACACTCCGTCCTCCGAAGCTGAGGATGGCGGTTGGATGAAGATGTGTTCCAGAGCATTGCTAGCCAGTGTCCCAAAAGCCGGTGCAAGCAAGGAGCCTGGATCCTCCACCAAGGGCTGAATCTGGGTGGGAGCGCAGGCGGCAGGTGTGTGCCCTGCTGTTGACTTTTCTCGCTGAGAGTGGCGCTGCAGGACAGTGCCCCATTTAACAGGTGCTGCTGATCAGAATGACAACGGAGGCCTCTCATAGCCACCTCCCAACTTCCCCTTCTCCATGAGCCCCTCCCTCTTCTGCAGTCATTTCTGAGGATGTGGATCCCTGAGGGAAGAGATTCTGGGAGAGAGTGTCCTGATCTTGGGGTGCTGTCCATTATGAGCAACACTGAAGTTCTGAGAGTGGCCTTTTTTAGCCAACTTGCTTTCTATACTAGTCTCTGACCCTTTCTGGAAGTTAGGGCCACAACCAGGCATACCCGGTGTCCGGCACTGCAGTAGCAGTACACAGAGCAGTCTCAGTGGCTAGAACCAGGTACATCTGGCTGGTTCACACAGCTTTGGGCCAGCAGTCCAGGCTGGGTGCTTCTGGTCTTGGATAGGATCGCTTGGTCTCTTCTGGGGTCACCATCTCTGAGTTCCCAGTGGGTACGTAAAGTGTATGGCCTCTGAGTCTTGGGTCACGCCATGATGGTAGAGGCAGTGTTTTTCTAAGTGTCAGTGCACTGTTGTGTGGGGACAGGGGGAGCAGAGTCTCAGAGAGCAAGGACCTCTAGCTCCCACTGCTCCCCAAGACCTGACCTAGCATGGTCAGCAACAGCCTCGTGCCAGGTTTCTCCTTAGTCCCATAGACTGCTGGACCCTGGTGTTACCTGTGTTAAGCCAGCTGGGGCCTCTCCAGCCAGACATGGTGTGTGGGCTCTCAGAGCTCTGCTCAACAGAATGGAGAGGTCCCTGCTCGCACAGAACAGCAACCTTAATCTGGATGCAATTAGAGGAGACCAGCCAAATACCCTGTGGCAGCTGTTACCCCAGGATTATTCCCAGCCAGCAAAAGGCATTAGGTGATAATTCAGTCATTAGACTTCTAGCCTTCCCACCGCCAGGACATACAAATCACGGGTAATCAGCCCGCACACCGTCCCTTGGCCATGAGGCTTATTTAACCCATTTTTTAAAATGACACTTAATGCTATTGACCGGCCCGCCTGTGTGCGCATGCCGCCCCCCCCCCACCCGCCGCTAATGTCTGAGCTGACGAAATCACCTCATGTCATTGGGGCTCTAGCAAAGGACACCTTTGATGTGTGTGTGTGTGGGTGTGTGTGTGTGTGTGTGCGCGCGCGCGCGCGCGTGCGTGCGTGCGTGTGTGCGTGTGTGCGTGCGTGCGTGCTGTCACGGTGACGCATGATGCTTACCTTGGAAAGGGCCACTTCTGACTCACCAAGTAGAAGGGACAGTGTTGGGGGAGGGGCGGCAACAAGAGGAGATGGCTGGAATGTGTGCTCCTCTGTCTGGGCCAGCGCCCTCACTGGGTACAGAGAAGACCGCTGCTTCCATAGAAAGTTCTGCCTCAAGTGCCAGCCAGGAGGCCTGGCCCACCTTTACAGACTGTGTGGTTCCTGGCTAACCAGGGTCAGGGAGGGGAACAGGTTAAATTCAGGAGGGGAAGGTTTCAGTTTTGACACCAGAGTTTTTGCTAAAAGTGTCATGAAGCCCTTGCTGGACAAAGCAGGGTCTCCTGGAGCTGGTGCCTTTGATGGCCCTGGGCATGGGGAGGAGATGGCAATAGGTAACAGTGTTTCAGGGGACAGCTCCCACAACGTTCCTCTGCCTTCTTGCCTGCAATCACGTTTTGTTTTTGCTTTGTTGTTGTTTTGCTGTGCAAAGGGCAGTATGTGGAACTTGGGGCCCACACACGTGCTAGGCAAACAAACGTGCTGCCCCACCGAATGCCACACCCAACCCACCTGCTTCATGTTTGACAAAATGAATTTAGATAGAGGTCAGTTCCCACGGTGCCAGGAGTTCACCTGTGGCCTCCTCCTGTAGGCTCCTTTCCACTGTGGTCAGGCTGGGGTTGTCAGGGACACCCTGGGCTGGCCAGACAGAGGGAAGGAGACTGGCAGAACTCCCTTACCTTGGAAAGGTCACCATGTCCAGGAGGGAGAAAGGTAACAAGTCTCCTAGAGGTATAGCCTGGGTTAGAGGTAGGCCAGGGCCCGCCCAGGTGGGCCACAGGGAAGCTGGCTAGCCTGAGGCTAGGCCTGTCCTGGAGTACTGGAAGAACACAGCAGTCTCTGGATGTTAGTCTTGTGTTTCTAAAGAGGTTGTGTTGCTAACCTGGTCTAGAGGGAACCACCCCAAACCCAAGAAGCCAGTTTCCCTCAGAGCTTCCCTGGCAGGGAGTGAAGGGTTCCCCTAGCCGTTTCCTCGCCTGTAAAAGGAGAGCAAGACTCTCCATCAGGCTCCTTCAAAAGCCTGCTTTGGGGACTTCTGTGTCAAGGCTGCCACGAGGGTGGCTAACCATGGCCCAGGGACCTCACCTGCCACTCAGGGAAGAGCCCACTGGCCTTAGCCTTCCGCAGCAGTGACCGAGAGGGGCTGTCCACTCCCATCAAGTGCTCTCCCTGGTTTGGAGTCAGCAAACCCATGCCTCTCCCACGTCTCCACCTTCCGTGTGTCCTCTGCAGAGGGCAAGCCTCTGCACCTCCTCTTATGCCTACCCTGAAGAAATGTGAGCCACAAAGCCACCTCAGCGGGCTTGGCCAGCGCCTGTCTGTGCGCATGCGCACGTGCTCTTCTGTAGCCGGCCTCGCCCACAGCTGGGAAGAACCTTCTGTGAGGGTGCTGCACCTTCGTTCGGAACAGCTGCGTGCCGATACCTGCCACCACCAGGCCTTTAAATACATTGCATCCAGCTCCAGGTGGGAGTATAGCATTTCGGGTTTGCAGAGGTCAAGTCTCATGACTGTCTTCCTTCCACACCTTGAGGACAAGGAAGACAGCTTTTTGTGTTTTGTTTTTAAAGTAATGAAATGTCCCCATGGCTAATGTCTAAGGCAAGTGACTCGTTTCTCTGTTGGGTTTTTTTGTTGTTGGGTTTTTTGTTTTGTTTTGTTTTGTTTGTTTGTTTTTTCAGTTCCCTTCTGGTCAAGGTCAGGACTGGTCACCATGACCCTTGTTAATCATGACTCTCATGGATTCCACACAAAATAAATAAAATAGTATTGCCACACACATGGTCCAACACCTTAAGAGAAGACTAACGAGAGTGGCCAGGTCAGACCAGGTCGGGCTCCGGAACTAGGCAGAGAGGCCCCGTGGAAGAGGACTGAGGGCTTTTAGATTTGGCCAGTTTGCCCAGCTCCTTGGCTGCTGTGAGACCACTGGGAGGGGAGCAGGTGAGGCCTGAGATGGAGAAGAAGAGATGGGCTGCGGGCCCAGCTCTGGGAAGGCCAGAGACATGGTCAGAAGGTCATGCTGAGCCTGGCAGGGGAGTGAAGAACTCAGGAGTGCTTTATGGGCCTCATGACCACTCTCAGCTCACGGGTCCCAGGCTACCCAGTGCCGGGAAACTCGTAACAGCGTTTGACAGGGCCTTAGAGGTCCTGTCCCTATTTCAGCCTGAGTCAGCCTGTGTGAACCTCCTTTGGGAGACAATCAGTATACTGAAATTTGGAGGGTGTAGGCTAGGCATCAAAGGGGCCCTGCTGTTTTACCAGCACTGGGAACCAGTTATAGAGACATAAAGCCCAGGGGTGATGCAAAGGTACGTGAGGGTCTGCCTGGGCCCTTGGAGAAGTTTCTGGAACAAATGGGGCAGAAACCCCAGCCTTCACCTAAAGCACCCATTGGGACTTTGAGCTGCTTCCACAGGGCTTGTGTGTGTGTACTGGTGTGCCCTGCAGAGGTGAGAGGGACCAGGGCTTGTGTGTGTACTGCTGTGCCCCTGTAGAGGTGAAAGGGACCAGGGCTTGTGTGTGTACTGGTGTGCCCTGCAGAGGTGAGAGGGACCAGGGCTTGTGTGTGTACTGCTGTGCCCCTGTAGAGGTGAGAGGGACCAGGGCTTGTGTGTGTACTGATGTGCCCTGCAGAGGTGAGAGGGACCAGGGCTTGTGTGTGTACTGGTGTGCCCTGCAGAGGTGAGAGGGACCAGGGCTTGTGTGTGTACTGGTGTACCCCTGCAGAGGTGAGAGGGACCAGGGCTGGTGTGTGTGTACTGGTGTGCCCTGCAGAGGTGAGAGGGACCAGGGCTTGTGTGTGTACTGGTGTGCCCTGCAGAGGTGAGAGGGACCAGGGCTTGAGTAGCCTGATAGTCCTGTGTCTGTCCACCCTTCTACCCACCTGTCCTTGGCTTGGACAGACTCATGCCCAATGTGCCCTGGTGAGGATTGGAAGGTGCCAGCCAAGCCCAGAGAGTCAGCTCATGAGGATGCCAGAAGCTAGTTCCCTGTGGAGAGGCCTCCATCTGCTTGGAAGCCGGAGGGCTTCTGGCCCAAGCTACCTTGAAAGCTAAGTTCCACTGTCACTGGAGTCTGAAGTGCTGGTGGTGACCAAGGGCCAAAGTGACAGGAGGGAGCCAGGCAGGTGCTCACAGCCTCTGAGTCTGTGAGGCTGCAAAGGATGGCATGGAGCCCAGGAACAGGAGTTGCATCTCCTCAGGGAGGGACAGTCCACCCTCCTGGGCCAGTCCCACAGGGGGCTGAGGCCTGTCATTAACCCTGTTTTGAGCCACAGACTGGCCAGTCACAGCCCATTGAAACAGGGTATTCTTATGTGGAGTTCTTCAGGGCCTGGGACACAAATCCTACATGCCAAGACTCGAATGGACGAGGGCACCCACACCTCTGTGCCTTCAACTAGGCAAACTTTGAACTCCCAATCCCTACAGCACCCAGGCCCTTCTCTCCTTCAACCCCGAGCACTAATATTCATTACCCATGTCCCCTCACCCCTGCTAAACCCTGTCTTGGCCTGTTTCTTCAGAGGGTTATAAGGGCCCTCCTCCACTGCCTCACAAGCCAAGAGTCCAGAAAAGGTGGGTCATTTGCAGTGCACACCCTGAGCGCCATACTGACCCCTCCTTGTCACCAAGTCACCCCTTTTTAAGCCCACGCTCTGTTCATGCTTCATCTGGGCTCTGGTGCCCAGACACCACCACACCTGTGTCCCACCCTGTCAGGGAAAGGGCGTCTTGGCAGCTCCTCCGTGGTGGGGAGACCCCAGACAAGCTCTTTAAGGAGCAGCTGTCCTCCAAAAAGACCAGACCAGAGGACACCTGCCATTGGTCTGGCCTATGACACCCAGATTCTAACATTCCTACATTTCAAAAGGCGCCTGGCTCCCTGCCTCTCCACCTGAGTCCTCCTTTCTCTGTATCTCAAGAGAGTTACAGCACTCTGGGTCCCGTGTGCGTGAGGTGGGAAGAGAGGGAGGGTGATTTAAACAGCATTTAAAAGCTGTTCATATCCAAACGGGAGAGTGTCAGGCCAGAGACTTCTGGTTCTCTGACCCCAGACAGAAGGGGACACTTCATGTTATCAAGGATGACAGAGGCTTCTGAGTCTATGATGCTGTGAGGAGGGTGCCTTGAGGGCAGAGTCCCCAGTTGGGTACAGCACCTGGCTCTAGCTACCCTCTGCCACAAAATGGGAGTGCCCGCTGAACTGAGGCGCATTTGGGAGAAAATTCACTTGTTCCTGGACATAAGCAGCCGTGCACAGATGCAATAGAAGAAGACATCAAGGCCAGAGGTCTCTTGGCTGCAAGGCACAGGGGAATGAACAGTACAGGAGTGGTAAAGGGCCAAGGTAGGGCCCTACTGGTAGGGTGAGAGACCGGGGCTTTGGGTGGTTCAGTTAAGAGCTGTTGCCATCTGCTGGGGGCAAGCAAAGGATGAGAGCAACACACTGTCAACAGAAAAGACACCAGGAAGCAAAAGGCGGACCCACTTAAAAGGAAGGCTGCAAGGGAGTCAATGCTGCCAAGTGTTCATTGCAGAGGGAACGCCCAATAGTGTACTCTCCACATTGCTCTTTTGGAGCTTCCTGGACAAAGAGACTAATGGCTGCAGGAGGCACTGCCAAGGAGGCAAAGGGAACCTACAGGTTGCCCTGTCCCAGAGACATCCTGTCCACCTTCCCGCAGAACCCAGAGCTCTGAGTACAAGCTCTGGGTGTGACTTAGCCAGGCCCAAGAGAGACTGCTGCCAATGGACGCTCCACCCACTAGCCTACAAGGTCCACCCACATGTAGAGACGCTAGGGGAGGAGCGCTCTGCTTCCCCATGTCTCCCTCCATGAGAGGGGACCCAGTCTACTCGAAAACCTGAACTGTGCTGGAGATCCACCATTATTAGCACCTCTCAGGGAGGTTGTGGAAGGATCAACTTGCCTGACAACCCCAGGCTGAGTCCCTCTCTTCTGCCCACCTCCTGCCACTGTCACAGGCTGTAGCAACAAGGCAGAAGTTCATAGGTCATCCCCCAACCCCCACTCGGGTGTCACTCAAGTCTGCTCAGGTCTCCTCCACCAGAGACTTAGGCTCTCATTTTCCCAAAGCCAGCACCCTGGTGGATTCCTGGGAAATGTCCAGCTGTGCCAAATGGTTCATTTAGATAGCACGTTCCCCCACTCTCGGGGCTTTCTGTTTGATTGGCCACACACAGGACTGCCTGCCTCAGGCCAACAAGCGTAAATGAAGTTTCAGGAGTGTGATCAGCATCCCTGATAGTTGCACAAGTGTCTTGAGAGCCTACATTCTTATGGATGAGATTCTGCCAGTTCCACCAGGGACAGGATCCATGTAACAGGGACAGGATTTGGCGGGGGCAAATGTGCCTGCAGGTGCCCATGGGAAGGCTGGAAGTGAAGGTCCTGCTTCCTGCCTTGGCTCCCCTTCTCCTTCCACAGTGGTCACAGTGCCTCCCCCAGGATGCTGCAGATTTGAGCAAAAGACCACAGCCCTCCCCTCGAGACTCAGGTATAGCACAGTTTCTGGGGCATCCCCAAAGAGGACTGCAGCTCAATGATGGCTCACCAAAGAAGCCTGGGCCTGGGATTTCTGCTGAGAGGTGTGTGTGTGTGTGGGTGTGTGTGTGTGTGTGTGTGTGTGTGTTGCACAGAGCACAGGATCTCCCCAACCCCACAGCTGCAGAGTCCCATAGAGCTTATTCCATTGAGGGAGCTAGGCAGGAAGGGCACTTTGTCAGAAAGAGGGCTAGACGGGTTACACCCCTCTCAGCTCCTGTTCACTTGGTGGATGCCAGCCACACTTCCGTACAAGACACACAGCATGGTGGGGCTCAACAGTAGTTGAAACCTGCAAGGTCTGAGCTTCTCACTAGTGCTGGCTTCTGGGAAGGGTCAGGCAGGACCTGCACCTGGATCCCTATCGCAGCCCAGGGTATAGGATGGGATTTGGGCATGGCAAGACACAGCATCTTCCTGGGGAATCTTCGGGGCTTTTCTAGCCTTCTACAGAAGAGACTGCCGGCTCCCACCATCCCACGCTCTGCTCTGCAGAGCCCCTTGTAGCAGCCTCTGACTTCATGTCCCATGCTCTCATCCTACCTTGTACATCATCACACGCCCCACCACAGCCACTGTGTGCAGGGTGCCTACAAAGTGAGGAGCAGGGGTCCTGAACGAGGCAGTGTGCAGGGCAGCAGAGGGACTGGGCCTTCTGGCCTTGGGAGCCTGAGGAGGGGCCCGACTGAGGGAGTGCAGAAGGAGGGGAAGGAGAACTGGCAATCTAATCATAACAGGTGCATTCTAGGTAAGTATTAGTAACTCATGATGCAGGGAATTGGGGAGAGTCTAATTACAGTGCCCCTGTGCAAGCCCACAGCACTGAAAAGGAAACCACACTGCCCTGGAAGCCTGAAGGCATTCGTAGGCCTCCCCCTCCAGGAGGAAGCCAGGCCTCTGATTCCAGCCCCCTCTGAATCCATCCCACTCCTAAGCACCACCCCCAGGAATCAGCTGCAGCCAGGATACCTTGTCCTCAGTGGGCATTCCCTGTCTGTCTGTCCTTACGGAACCCAACATACACACTGTGCCTCTATTCCTGTAGTCACCGAAAAGAAACGTCTTAGGCCTCAAAGAGTGCCAGGGGTCAGGAGCCGCCATTGCCTGTCCCTGGGTAGGATGAGCAGCTGGGCACAGAACCACTGAATGACACCATCAAACTTGACCTCTTCCTGCCCCTGCAACAAGTCAGCACTATGGGGCTGCAGG